CAAATTTCTGCCCCATAAGTTATAATCGGTTCGATGGCTGCTAGGTACAGAGTTCTACTTGCAGATGGGCCGTAGCCCCACTTGTTCCGACAGATAGATTTGAGGGCTTGGGAAATTTTTGTGGCTTTCTGGTAGATATGGTGGACATGGTCTGTCCAGTTTAGCCTATGGTCCACGACGATCCCCAGATATTTAACCGAAGTGGCGTTTTTGATTCTTACATTGTTTATCTTTATGCTGGGCCCTTTCTTTAGTGGGTTGCCCTTAGAGAAGACCACAACATTACACTTGTTGTAGTTGATCTTGAGTTTGGTGTTCTCGCTCCAAGTGTGGATGTCCTTAAGGGCCCCGTTAATCCCTTTTTGGAGTATTTCGTAGTTGAAGTGGCTCATCAGGAGGACGGTATCGTCAGCATACCCCTGGATGAGCCCATTGTACTCTGTAGGAATTGTGGATTGAAGCGTCAGGAGGCTATTGAACAGGATATTCCATAAGAATGGGCCTGACCTCGAGCCCTGCGGGCAGCCCCTATGAATTTCTTTACGAAGGCAGATGTTGTTGCCTGTGTCCACCAGGATAAACCTGTTCTGTAAATAGCTCTCTGTAAGATGGTATAGATTTTTGGGGCACTTATCTTTCCGTAGGTTTGACAAGATGGTTGGCCACCAAGCATGATCAAAGGCGCCCTTAAAATCGATAGTAACCATCAGATTGTGGTTTTTATTGTCCCTTGCCGTAGTAATGTGGCGGTGAATGTTGTCAATAGCCCCGATGGTATTCCTGCCCCGCCTGAAGCCAAATTGCCTGTTGTTGATGATTTTATTACTCTCATAATGGAAGATAATCCTGTTTATGAGGAGAGAGTCTAAGACTTTACCTATGATTGGCAGGAGGGAGATAGGGCGAAAGTCTGAGGCCGTAGTTGGAGTCTTATTCTTGTTTTTCGGAATGAGTTTTATGGAGGCTTGCTTCCAGTCCGATGGAAAGAAACCCATAGCTAGGCACTTATTCATGATGATACTGAAGGTGGTAGGTATGGCCTCAAAAGCCAACTTGGCCATTTTGGTGGAGATGTGATCAGGGCCAGGGGCTTTATGCAACTTTAACTTGTTAAATTCTTTTGCGATTTCCTTGAATGTGAAGTTAGAGTCGTAAAGGCCATTATAATCATCAAGAAGACTGTTGCGGATGTCTGAGTGGTACTGACTGTCCGAGGTAGTATTATCATCCGGAAAGAGCTCATCAATCAAATACTGATAGGTTTCGGATATTGTCTTGGTGTAGTCATTGTTGTTAGTTTTAATTGATGGTGGGATTTCAAGATTCTTTTTCTTTTTGGCAACGACATAGTACGGTGTGGACCATGGATTCCTGTTGCCTACTTTAGTGCAGAAGTCTCTCCAAGCCTGGCTCCTAGCTTTATTGATGTTGGCTTTGTAGTTCGCGAGGAGAGTCCTATAGGCAGTTTTCAATTCTTGTTTACGATGGGTGTCAGCCTCTCTCCGCATCTGCCTCTTAGCCTTTCGAAGCGCAGTCCTTTGCTTTGCAAGGTCTGAATTCCACCAAGGGGTGTGCCGTCTCACAGTTTTTGGTGTCGTAGCTTGAATGTAGCATGAGTGAATCACTCTGTTCAGATTGTTAATAGTATGATCAATTTCTTCTGGAGTGTTCAAATTACAGATGTTAATAGGCGTCCAGTGGGCTTGAATTAGATTGTGATAAAGATCCCAGTTGGTGTGTTGAGTTATACAGTATTTTGGTTGCGGAGTGTCCTGTTCGATCACCATCTCAATGTAACTGTGATCGCTTACAGAATGGGTGTCTATGGTGTTGCACTGAATTCAGCTGATGTCCAGTTTGCTAGACCCGAGGCAGATGTCTATCCAGCTTTCCCCATTAGATGAGGAATAGGTGGGAAGAGGACTGGTGTTCAGCGAGGTGAGGTGGTACTGATTCATAAACTCCTCCACCATGTAACCCCTCGGATCCTCCACTGGGCTGTGACTTATGTATGTGACTTAGCATTGAAGTCTCCAGAAATGAGGATTGGGTAGTCCTGTAACTGCTGGATAGAGCTAGCAAGAAGGCTGAGAGAGGCGTTAAGATCTCCAGTCGGAGGACAATAGAATGAAATGAGTATGTAAGAGGAGTTCTGCAATTTAAGGCTGGCCGTGGTAAAGCTGTTATTACTATGGTTCGGTAGGAGCTGAACATCAATGTGGTCATTTAGGATGACAAATCCGGTTTTGGGTGGTTGAGTGGGATCCTGATGAGAGACAGTTCGATGATTGCCGAACATTGCAATCTTGTTGGAGTATGTATACGGCTCTTGGATGAAGAGGATATCTATTTGCTTGGTGATTGCAAGTTGGAGAGCGTCAGAAGTAGCCGCTTTGCACCTTTGTAAATTAATTTGGAGAATCTTCAGACTGTTATTAGTGAGATTATACCCCATAGTTGGTTTGACGGATGGTGAGGGCTTTCATCTTGATGGTGATGGGACAGTTCGGGTTAAAAGCATTGTGATAGGTTGGATACTTTTCTTGATCTGGAGGATCTTTGTTTGCCATCTTGCAATTAGCACAATTGGTAGGATGATCTAGCCTTCTGCATTCCCCGAATCTGTGCCCTTTACCACAGTGGCTACATTTTTGTTTTGCTGGGCAATTAACTGAGAGGTGGTTGTAGCCACAGCATTGATAGCACCGAACTAGGGGTATGTAGTCATTGATATAGATTTTAGCCCATTGAAGGGCAATGTGTTTAGTGCGGACTGAAACATTTCTTATACTTGGAGAGGTGGAGAGGACAATATGTCTACAGTTTTCTTTATTATTACTTCTGAATAAAACTGTGCTGATCCTGGTGTTTTCTGTGAAATCATCTCTATTTATCGTTTGTAGTTCTTCATTCTGATCATATATGTATGAGATAATGTCCTCCTCATCCACTGAGGTTGGCACATTCGTGAGGATGACCCTTGGTCTCCTGCCCTCAGAGATTCTACAGTTTACTTGATTAGGTATGTCCGGAAGCTTTTTGATGGCATCTTCAAGAATTTGGGCTTCCTTGTGGGTATCCATTCTAAAACATAGCCCGTCACCTTTTACCTGCCAGACACCCTTGACTCTTATTTTAAGATCGCTCGGTTTGATGTTTTTCTTTATGTTGTTTTCGACTTGGTTCATGTTAGTGATATTCCCTTCGTCATCCGTTTTAGGGTATAGTATAACTGCAAAAGTTCCCCCAGTGCCTTCATTATTAATTTTGTTCTTGAGAGATCTGTTGATGGCCAGCGTGGTGGTGCTTGGCCTGGTGTTAATCTTGGTAACACTAGCATACGAAATAGGTGGTTGGGTATCCTTAGTAACCTGGGTTTGAGGTTGAGTCATTGTACAGTTTGACCTTAGTTCACGCAGAATCCCGTGGAACTGGCCTAAGCAGGAGAACATACGAGTAAGTCTCTCCCGTACCTCCTTCCGTTCGTCCGTGCGGAGGTATGAGCTATATTCAGGTAATAAGTCAAGAATTTTTAAGAAGTGCTGATTGGCCTCATCCAGGATAGTGTTTTCTAATGGTTGAATGACAACACTAGTTGAAGGTGCCCCCACCACAGAGACTTCCGAGGATCGGCTTTGAGTAGGCATGATTGATGATGATAAGTGTGATAAACCAACCAGTAGAGTGTAGTATAATGATCAGAAAAAAAAGGTGCCAAGTGGCAGCAAGACTCTGGCCAGGGAGACAAAGTCTGACACAGCCAGAGGGGAAGAAACTGGTTGGGTGGAAAAGAACAAAAGGCTTACTTACCACAGTAGAAACCTAGGAGTGAGATAGTTCTTTGTAACCCTTTGGTACGAGTGTATCCAAGTCCAGCGAGCACAAGAGACAAAGAGTTCGGCGATTAGGTTCGCAGGGAAAGTGACACAAGCCTTGAGCGCTGCAGAGCAATTAGTCCTAGGAGAAGGTCCTTAAGTAATCCTTGAGGAGTATCCACTGAGAGGCTGTATCCGGAGTTTGGTGGTGGTAGGTCCAGACGAAGCTGAGATATTGCACAAAAGGTCTGGTAACACCAGAAGAGACTGCGCCAGGAGCCAATAAGGGTCCTGGCTGGACCAGAGTAGCCAAGCAAAGCTTGGCTGTAAGAAACCCAGCTAAAGGTTGGGAAGTACCTACCCCAAGTCAGGTAAGTCTTACCTGGCTCTCCCAATTGTAACAAGTGCTGATAAAGACACCTGTCAGCACGGGCAATTGGGAGGGTGGTGGGGGGACTGGTCTGCTGTTTAGCGGGTCCCTCCAAGTAAACAAAAAGTAGATGATGGTGTCCACAACACTAAACACAGACAGGAAGGCCAGTCACAACACAGATGATACAAAGATGACATAACACTTTGTAATCCAAGAACACACACACTAAACACAAATACAGTATCCAAGATGGCTTCCACTGTTGTCTTCAGACGCTGGAACAGCCAAGGAGGCCAATATGGCCTGCTCCAAAAATCAAAACTATCCCAATAAAAATGGAATAAAAAGTTAGGCTTAGCAGCCCTAAGCCTAACACCCTTCCTAGGCCTAACTTAACCCTACTTGCCTATACTCTAACACTGTAGACAGCTAGCTAGGACTAAAACTAGGCTTAGCGTATGAAAAACAAAAAATTTACACTGTCAGGAGCTAGTGGAGAGTACAACTTACCTTGTTGAAGACCAAACACCAACTGTTGGAAACAACATGCAGAGATTGGTTTAGATGCTTCAAAAATAATGATTTTGATGTTGAAGATAAAGAACAATCTGGCGCACCAAAAAAGTTTGAAGACGAGGAATTAGAGGCGTTACTTAATGAAGATTCATGTCAGACGCTAGCTGAACTTGCAGAATCATTAGGAGTTGATCACACAACAGTTTCGAAATGTTTAAAAGGATTAAGAATGATTCAAAAGCAAGGACATTGGGTGCCGTATGAGTTGAAGCCGAGAGACGTCGAACGGTGTCTTTTTACATGTGAACAACTGCTTCAACAGCAGAAAAGGAAAGGTTTTCTGCATCGTATAGTGACAGGCAACAAAAAATGGATACACTACAATAACCCTAAGCGTAGAAAATCGTGGGGTAAGCCCGGCCATGCATCAACATCGTCAGCAAGGCCAAACATCCATGGTTCGAAGCTTCTGCTCTGCATTTGGTGGGATCAGCTAGGTGTAGTTTATTACGAGCTGCTCAAACCAAACAAAACCATCACGGGAGATCGCTATCGACTACAATTGATGCGTTTGAGCCAAGCATTGAAGGAAAAACAGCCGCTATATGAGCATAGATACGACAAAGTGATTTTGCAACATGACAATGCTCGGCCACATGTTGCACAACCAGTGAAAACGTACTTGGAAACGCTTAAATGGGAAGTCCTACCCCACCCACCGTATTCACCAGACATCGCCCCTTCTGATTATCACTTGTTCCGATTGATGGCACATGGCCTGGCTGAACAGCACTTCCATTCTTATGAAGATGCCAAAAAATGGGTTGATTCTTGGATAGCCTCAAAAGACTTGTCGTTTTTCCAACGTGGAATTCAAATGTTGCCAGAACGTTGGGAGAAAGTAGTGGCTAGCGATGGACAATACTTTCAGTGACGTGTTTATTACGACTTTTTTTTAAATAAAATGTTAATTTTCACAAAAAAACAGCAAGAACTTATTCAAGGTCCTTATATATCTATAAACAATTTATCACAACAGATCAGACTGATCATCATATATATTGGCCAACAAAACAAAATTACATGTTGAAAAGATTAGCAAATACACAGAACTTGCACATGAAATAAAGCATTTGTGGATAATAGACAATATACTTATCACGCTTATGGTCATTTTTGTGCAGGCATCATACCATACATACTACACAAAAGTCTAGTGACATCAGGCCTATCACAATAGCATTCGTATTACATTACAAAAAACAGTCATCCTAAACACTTGTCACATAGGAAATTCTTAAGTGCAGAAACATTCATGAACATCACATAATCACAGTAGCAAATTTGTTATTGCTCTGCCTTGACCTTGGTCCAGAATAGCAGTGGGCACTGGTATTAACTGAGAAGGATGCAATCTACACACAGAATAATAATAATAATAATAATATATACAAAATTGCATTTTTGTAAAAAGAAATAAAGTAGTTGAAGATATTAATAAGTGTGTTTACATTCTTTTTATAGAACTTCAGACAAATATAAAATGGAATATAACAAATTTTGAATTAGAACAAATTATACAAACATTTGCCAGTTTATGTGATAAAACAAACCAATGAACACTCCTATTTATTTTAATGAAATTTTCCATTTTTTAACAATAACCATTGTTGCAACTTAATAGAATTGCAATCTGTTATTAAATTATTATTAATGTCATCTATACAAAACTTAATTTTTAAAAAAATGAAATATTTTTAAAAATTTGAAATCTGCTGCATCCTCTTTTAAAATATTCTGTAAAAATAACACAAGTATTGGCAAATTTTTTTTACTGCTTTATTTTTTCTAAAGAGACATTACTTTGTTTACATTATTATCATTGTTTACAAATCTGCAGCATATGGTCCAATATGTTTGTGGAAAAATTTTGTTTAGTTCAATACCACATTAATAATAAAACATTAAACTCAGTACTGTAATCTCAATACTGATAACTACCAAATAAGATTAACTATAAGATTCAAAAATAATTTTAAAATAGATATTTGTAACACCAGTCATATATTTATTTAAAAAATTTTTTGTTTCTATGCTATTTCTTCAAATAATTCTTTTTCTGACAATCATTTGTGTAAGAAAAAAGGTGATTCAAAATAATTAGGCTAAAGGGGTATATATCAGAATTATTAAAACTGTACATCTACTGATATACCGATAATTTGTGCATTAATATTAACTGTAAACTGTCCAGCGTAAACTGTTTTAGTTACACAATAGATTAATATTATTTGATGTGATTTAATGAAAAATAGAAAAATTAAATCAAGATACATTTATTATGTTTAATCATAAATACCAAATTTTTGAGTTAAAACATTGATTCAACTAGAAATATAGTTAAATAATAAAAAAGAAACGTAGTTGGAATTAATTTTTTTGTTTAATTCATAAAATTAATTTTGATATATAACATATAAGTACATTTTGTTATGTATCTTACAGCTTATTTTTTTCTTTTTAGAATACATTTCCTAACTTATTTTCAAGTCTAAGAATTAATGATAATAATTTATGGAACACTTTTGCCAAAAGTTATCACTGTGAACAAGAAATTCCATCCATTGTAGAACAACAACTTACTTCATTTCAACAAGTTTTATTAATACAAGCATTACGTCCAGATCGCCTCCAAAGTGCAATGACAACATTTTGTTCTAGATTATTAAGTAAGTAAGAATTGAAAAATTAATTTATTTTTTATTAATCAAATTTATATAAATTTTAATTAAATATTTTTTAGCATTAAAAGAGCTTTCTCTACCTGCTTTAAATTTACGAAACATTTATTCATATGAAACATTAGCTTCAGAACCAATATTAATTATTATATCACCTGGAGCTGATCCATCTCAAGAATTGCAAGAACTCAGTGCTGAAATTGTAGGATCTGAAAAATATTATCAGGTAATAATTCATGTAATAACTTTAACTCAACAATAAAAACTTCTGAAGAGCAAGCATTTAAAATTAAATTGTGAAATATTAGTGGAAAACAAGAATTTTGATTCACTTTTATAATGAAAGTGAATTAAAAATAGGAAAGAATTATGATAAATATAAATATTTTTATATTTATCATAATTCTTTCCTTGGTCATCTATTCTATTAGTGGAAAATTAATTACAAAAGAATTATATTGCAAATAAAATCATTTTGAAAATTTGGATGTCGTTTACAGCCAACATTATTAATAAGTCTCTTTATGAGAATACTATCAAATATAATCTCTAAGACCAATAGTTATAGCCAAATTATAAATATTAAATTTAATAAGAGATGGCACCTAGTACCTATCTCAAGGCCAAATTACATAGCATTTAATTATTAATATAGCAATAATATAGCCAATCTAATCTGGCTATTATTTGGCTTTAGAATACTATCAACTGCACATTAAGTTGATGGTAACTTTTTCATATTTTATTGAGCTTATTCAGATTGTTTTAAGAAGACAAATGATATTTCTTAAATTATATCTATCTCCAGAAAGATCTGGAAAGCATTTTGAAAAAACAATCAGTAATTTAAAATTTTTTCAGGTATTTATTATTTACATAGTTTTTATTGTTTTCTATTAATTGTAGTTTTTTTAAATTAAATTCTATGTTAGCATATAATTATTATTGAACATTTTTGTAATTTGCTTTTAAATTTCAGAAATTAATGTATTTTAATATAAAAATTATATTTTTTTGAACATTAATAAAACTTTTTATTATAAAATATCAAAATTAATATTATAATTTTCTAGGTTTCAATGGGTCAAGGGCAAATGGAAATTGCTATAGACTATCTTCATAATTGTGCACAAGAAGGCAACTGGTTATGCTTGAAAAATCTTCATCTAGTCACTCATTGGTTACCTACATTAATTAAAGTATGTGCGTTTTATATTTAAATTGTGAAAACTCATAAATTTTAAAAAATTTTCTTCCATCCATCAAAGTGTATTTTGCCTCAATAAGAACCAAATTCTTTAAGCATTTATACTACTGAGATCTAACAGATTAGCTATTCAGTTATTTAACAAACATATAGAGTAATCAAAATTTTTGTTTCCAATGTTGAGATTCCTATTAAATGAAGACAAGTGATATAGTATGACTGGAAGTATTCACATCAATTTATTTAGAAAATATTAATCATCAACATAGACAAGTATATATATATATATATATATATATTAAGNTTTAGCCCAGGACAATCTAGTTTGGCCTAAATACTTTAGGCTTAACTAGTTTGACCTAGGCCGAACTGATTTATTTAGTGTTATTATTCAAGTATATTAATGGTTAAAATAAAATTAAAAGGCACTCAATTAAGTGAACAATATTTATTCAAACATAGTGTACTTAATTATAAAAAACAGTATTGATTAGAAGTGACACAACACTTGTACAGTACAAAACTATAAAATAAAAATAAGCTAATCAGTACTTATTAATTTGTATGTTTTTTTTTTTATTTATTAAACCATGCACTTTTAAAGGTAATTAACTTTCGAAAATATTTTCAAAAATTAAACAGAATAATAAAAATAATTTTTAGAGTCTAACTAAAATTAAAAATTAACTTATTTGTGCTTCTTAGTGTAACATATAAAATATTTAATCTTTTATTTATTTTTAAAGGGTGTACTGTTGTGGCAATTCAAATTACACAAAATCATTTTTTTTTACATTGGCACCTATTTGTAGTACAGTTTTTGGTACAGGTGCATCTTGTGCTGTCCCAACTGAATGTTTGGTAGCTGCAGTCCTTAGTGAGATTTGAACATCTTGATTAACATCACTTTCTTATAGAAATTTTTGAGTACAAAGGTTGTACTGTAATAAACAAATCTTTTATTTTGACCAAATTACATAACATACTTATGCTTTTTATAGCAAACAAAACAGCGTTTAACATCATGTTTTTTTCTTCGAAGATCTTTATCAGGCTTTCATTATAAGTAAATATTATACAAAAATCCTATCTGAAAAAATTCATAAAACTTGAAAACCTCTTCCAAATATAAAAACAATAATCATCAAAATCAGTTTGACCTAGGTCAAACTAGTTAAGCCTAAAGTATTTAGGCCATATAGATTGTCCTGGGCTAAATTAGTATATCCTGACACAAGTAGGACAAACTAGTTTGGCCGGTAACATATATATGCTTTTATCCAATTAATTTAGATTTTATGATGAATTTGTTCATGACAAAATGACAAATTAAATATAATATTTACTAAAAGCATTTTATGATAATTACATTCAACAATATCACTAGGATATCTTACTCATGCGCGAGCCCTAGTTTTTGTGTCCTTTACAAATATACCATGAATATCTATTTTTTGATTACCATCAAAACTCCTTTGAATTGAGTTTGGAAGGTATGAACATCTGGCAATGTTGTTATAAAGTAGTCTGTACAGGTTATTCCTTGCCAGACAAGAAACACACCACCAGAGCCATTTCATACATGCTTGATAATGCAATACAATAGAACATCATTTATCTGAATCAATTGGGGACTGGGGTTTTCAGATAACTTATTTTTCGGATAACCGATTATGTACGAAAAAATATATTAACCTATCTCATGTTGAAGTTTTTCTCTGTTGCATGTTGCTTTGCATTGAATTTTTGTTGATGTTAAGCCTAACGTAACTTTTTAAATTAATAATCCTGACTATTGTATCGTTAAAAATCATTTCTTTATTTTTTACAAACAAAATAAATATATTGAAAAATATAAAAACAAAAAAAAATTATACTTTAGAAGTTAATCTAGTATCAAAAACATTCAATTCAGCACAACACAGTCTGAGTGGAACGCTTTCAGTTAACCAACATTTCGGTTGATCGGCATTCAGATAATCAACACTCTACTGTACTATAAATATTACATATAAATATATAACACAAACAATCACTCTTGGGCCATTGAAACTTGCTGTTTTTCTTTTTCAATGTAATGCTTTGTTCCATTTTTGTCATTTCACAATTCAAATCAGGTACTTAATTAGGAATGTCTTTGGTGTGCCATTGGCAGTGGTGCCTACTTGCAGTGCACACACCCTTCCTGCAGTGCACACGCTGCATGCCCACTTACAGCAGCCCTAATTATATTAGACGTGAGGGACGAACAGACCCACAATAAAGTGTTATTTTAAATTTTAATTATTGGAAACTTTAATCGGTTAAATTCGAACGTTTTATCGAGTTAGGTCCATGTTGCATAGAGAATTTTGTGATATACCTAAATTCACAATTTTTATTTATACCATCACTACAGCTTCATATATAGTGTTCTAATAATGATTCAAATAAATATCATGGACTTCGATAAATCACAGAATTGCATCCCTATTCTACTGCTTTGTACTTTGTGCGCAAATAAAAATGTTTCTATTTTTCATACACTCCATATGTAGAATTCGCACCATAACTTAAACTNTCCAGTTAACGGACAAGAACTAGTGGAAAGACCATTTCAGAGGAGTCCATAGTGTCCTCATACTACAGATCTGTGACCTAGGAAAAAGAAAGGTATTTATCAACCCGCGATTCGGTTGTAAACTCTCTCTCTCGAACGGAATAGTATAATTAAGTCCGCTAATATGCCGATATCTCTGTATTTTCTTTGCTTATTATTAAAATTGTTAGTTGTTAGAACATATGGAGTCCGAGTGAGTCACTTCCTCGTCTCTCTCCTCACCTCTACTCCGAATCCAAGCGCTCACACGCTACCGCTCGCGAATCTCGTGGCATAAAGTCGCGATTTCCAAGTCCCCTAGAGACTCGGTGGTGTCATCCTGACAGGGCGCCGAAGAGGTGCCGACCCTACGGTCACATATTGTAATGAAATATTTTTAAGTAAGAATTTGTTTCAGTTTATACTTATCTTCTTCAACTTTTGTAAGTAAATAGCTTAGAATTGTAATCTCTCAAGTTTTATAGATGCATAAAAATCAAATCAGTAGGTCTTAAAACACATTAAGAACATACATTTTTTTAACTTAATTTTTAAATTAAAAAGTAAAAAACAATATAGAGAATATCCTAATAGTTAAGCAGTTCAACATATTATTAAATTATACGTTCAGTTTCCACATTAGAAACTAAATATATTTTCATATCTGATTTCTGACTTTGGATAGACATATAATTTATAAATTAATATTTACAGTTTGAATGATCATTGTATATTAACAAAATTGGAAACTCTCTTTTACTTGAACATAAATTATATTCAGGTAAAAGTGTAATTATTTGCATTACTCATTGTAAATTATCAAAAAAGGTTAAAAATTTCAAATTATACATGTTTGATAAATAAAACTAAAATACTTGTTTATTTAAATAATATACTTAACATATGACAGAATAAATAGTCTAAGAAATTATGTGTACTCTAAACATATTCTAACAATAAGATAATACAATTTAGAAAATATATTTTTTAAAATACTCTTGAAGTATAAATTTTCTAAACATTTAGCAACTATAAATATATTGATAGTTAATAATTACTCTACTTTAAAAATTCCAATTTAAATGTAATTCTTACTAAATTTTCAGATGTCTTATTAACAGACCTAAGGCAACAACTTTATTTATTGTAATATTATAGTTCACTTCTGAAAATTATATAAAGACAATGCAACTTATAGTGATAGATATAACATCGTCATTATAAATCCAGAAAGAGATTAGTGTGTATTGGGAGACTAGAGATAATTCAGTTTTAATTTTATGATGACTACAAAAATTAGATTTTTTTATTAACTTCTTAATAAACAAAGTTTAGATACATTATTTTGCTGAATATTAAGCAATAAGTATAAGATTGATTTTATAATTAGTATGATTAATAAATTAGTTTAAGATATTTATAGAATATAATGATTATTGTGAATTTAAATTAAAGTAGTATTTTTTTATTTGTGGTTTAGTGAAAATCTTGTGATCTTACTAGATCAAAAGAAGACAGTATTGACAAAGATAAAAAAATAATTTATTAGATCAAATTATTAATCTTTGTTTATGAATTTCATAAATTCATAAACATGAATTTCATATGAATTTCATAAATTCATAAACATGAATTTCATGTTTATGAATTTCATAAATTCATAAACAGTTTTCTGTCTTATTTTTTTTATGATATTATGTTTCACTTTTTTAAAACTAAAGTTAAATTAAATATTAACACTTTTTGTGTATTTAGGAATTTAATAAATTATCTCCACATGAAAATTTCCGTTTATGGTTGACATCAGAACCACATCCAAAATTCTCACCTATTCTACTACAAATGAGCTTAAAACTAACTTACGAGGTATGAAATTTTAAAGTATATTTTAAGCTAGTAAATTAGTGTAAATTAATATTCAATGTTAAAGCATTTATTTTGAAATATAATTTCTAAATTGTAATTTTTACCAAAAATTTATAAATAAATAAAATCAAACTTCTAGATTAAGATAATTTTTTTGCAGAAAATAAAATGACTTTAAAAATGAAATTTATCATTTGTAATATATATTTATTTATTTATAATTTAAACAGTTCTGATCATTTACATTTTTAAGCTGATTGTAAGCTCGTGTCAAGGATGTCAAGACTCCGATGATTGAGTACAAACATATTTCAAATAAAATGTTTTATATTGGATCATCTCATCACTATAAAAACATGTTCATCCAATGTGGGCGCATCGTTACAGCTTGAGATATTTATAAGAGTAATCCTGGTATTTATGGCTTTGTGNAAAAAAAAAAAAAACAAATCATATATCAAATTACTCTATTAGGACAATCATAGATAACTCCTTCATCCAGAGGTTGGTTACATTTGATTGGGATACAGAAAAAATAATAAATTATAAGATTACAAAAAACAAAAAAATTATTTTTTAATTTTAAAAAAGAAAGAATTCTATCATTTAATATTGTAAAAAAACTATTCAATCTCTTGAGCACTAAAGATTGAATTTAAGAGTTATAGTCACCAAATATGCAAATCTATTTACATTAAAAAATAATCATCATAAAAATCCAATAAACTATTGAAAATTATCTTTATTACAAAATACACAGTTTATTTTGTTAAGCATTAAAATATGAAGTTTATATCTCAAATAAATTTTATGTAACCTTAATTGTTTCATAACTTAAATTGTAACAAGAGAAAAAACTACCTTGTACCAAAATGGTCTTGTACCAGAGACGAAACATGCTTTAGATCTTTATTCCAGTAGTTATTTTGCCACAAATTTAAAACAATATTAGAATGAAACAAGTAAAATGCCAAAGCCATTTTTAAGATAAGATGTCTCAGAGAATCAGGGCTCGACTGCACACTGTTTTCTAAGGAAAAGAGAAAAATGAGCACTAACCAATGAGGAAAAGCTGACACCAGTACTTGGGGTCCTAACATAGATTATGGCGGGTTTTGTTGCCATCGTGGTTATGACAGATTGTGTTGTCACGGGGCTTGGCTACAGTAAGCAGGATCACTTCGATGTTCATGGGAGGTGTTATCATCATTCTCCAATTTTCTTTGGTATTATGGTTTTGAGCACAGTTGTTCAAAGTTCACTGGCCTTGGCCACAAGGTCGTCCATGATGCATTTTCAGTGAAATTAACCTATCAAATGTCAAAATTTCTCTCCATTGCATGTCGACCTGGGTTGAATTTTTGTCAATGCCTAATGAAAATTTCCCGTTTTTGAAAAAAAATAGTGGCTATTATATCATCTGAAATTATTTTATTATTTTGCATGAACAAAATAGATATAATTTTTTTTTGTTTTTACATTTATTAATATATTTCGGAAGTTAGTTTTAATACAAAATTATAACAACTAGTGCCATGTAGTTTCAAAAGAGTGCCTATTTGTAGAAAGAGTGTTGCCATTTTGTATTTTATTTTGACTTGGTTCTTGGTCTCTTGAATACCTACAAGTTTGGTTTCTTTTGCACACATGATTTGGGCACCAAATACTCTGTGCCAAATTGCAACTCCTGACATGTACTCCTTCATACCTCTAAGGTGGGCAGCTGTTGATGGCACCACAATTTTATAAACAAGACATAATCTTGTCAATAACATATATATATAATAATATAATATATACATGTATTTATAATTCATAATAGTTGCTACAATAACATGCATAAGATCAAATATTCAAATCAAAATTTTCAAAAAGCCATTCATCCAAAGATGGAAAATAAAGAATCTCCAAAAAAATTATTAAGATTTCTCATATCTAGATACATTTCTTATTTTGTTTTAGCATTAAAATAGAAGTTAGATACTTGATCTTAATAAATCAGACTTGACTTTTTTGAACTGTAAATTAGTATATTATTATTTGTTTTTTCAAATTATATGGCATCAGTTGTGACAAAAGAGTTGGTAACCATTTATTTAAATTTGTTCTATTCTATTATTATTTCAATTATTTAGTAATAAATATCTTATACAATCAAAATGTGAGAGTAAATTAATATGAATATAGAATTTTAAATTATTTTCTAATATCAATAACTAATGAATAAAAATGAGAATTAGAATAGATTAGAAAATTTTAAGAATAGAAAATTTTTGTAGGCTCCTCCAGGTGTTAAAAAAAATTTATTAAGAACATATAACTCATGGTCACAAGAATATGTGAATAGTGGAAAAAATATGACAAGATCCCATATATTGTTTATTCTTGCATGGTTCCATGCCATATTACAAGAAAGAAGAATGTATATTCCACAAGTAAGTAGATGTACTGTACAATACAATTATAAATACTTAGATTGCTAAGATAAAATTACAATTTTTTATTAGTGTGATATAACATTAAATTAAATTTTTTATTTTGTTTTTATTTGAAAACATTACTAATAGTAAAAATAGAAAATAATTTTTTTACTTTCTTGGCTAGCTTATACTTCTCAATGGTTATGAACAAAGATTCTATTTATTATATTTTTCAATTAAAAAGAAACAATAATTTTTAAGTTATGAATGAACTTGTATGTTTAATATTTTGAGTTCATTTATATTTAAATTATAACATAAATATTTTAAAATTTTCTTTATTGGTTTGAATAAAATTCCTATACAAAAGTTGCTTTGATTATTATGAGGACTGAATTAAATTAAAAATGATACATCATTGGCAATTAATCCTATTGTTCTTAGATTTGTAATTATATTATTTTTAAATTTGTTAGAATGTTTAATAAAAGTCACTCACTAAGCTTTTCAGAAATGTATATTTCTATGAAACATAAATTGATGAGTATTTATCTTAAATCTTTTTGTTAACTGTATCTAATTTTCTTTTATAAAATTTCTTGAATGTTTATTGTTTCATACAATTTGTATTAATAGTCCAATATAACAATACAAATAGAATTTATTTATTGATTATATAAACAGAAAAATTTTATTAAAAAAGATTTAAAATAACATTTAAAAAATCAATCTTTTGTTTATATGGTAAACAAGTTTTTTGTAAATAATAATTATCTATTCCTAGTTATCTTCATATTTATAATACTTTAATTCAATATTTAATTATTTAGGGTTGGACAAAATTTTATGAATTTAACTTAGCAGATTTAAGAGCTGGTGCTGACATAATTGATCGAATTTATAAGAATCCAGGTTAGTTATATGTATTTTAACACTTTCTTGATTGAAATATATTACATAAATGAAAATATGTATATTTTGACTAAAATTTTGATTAAAAGATTGATTTTTCTGTTAATCATTAATACAACATTGATTCTATCATTTTTCACTTTTGAAAAATGCATTAAAGATTTGTTAATTTGTAAACATATTTATTAGAGACTTAACTAAAGATTTTTTTTACTATAACTTCACAAATTTGAACACCGTAACACAACTGTGATTGATGGTTGTAACAGTCAAAATGGTTAAAACTGTTGAAACATTCACAGTAGGTTACCAGATTGGGTTTTTTCCAAAAATGGGGAAGATGCTTTCTTGAGGAAATCTGGAAAAATTTATAAATGTATTGGAAAGAATTGAAAAAATATAAAATTTTTATTTTTTAATTACAGTAGCCCCTTTATTATATTCACTATATTGCTCATGCTGGGAGACAAACCAAATGAAAAAAATTATCATCAAAGTACAGATTTAACATATATAATAACACTGACATTTGTTTAAGGAAAATTTTATATAAGAGCCATATCATACAGAGAGCTGTTTCAGCCTTATGGAAACAATTTGAAATTTATGCCTTTTCTTTATGTGCATGCTGATTATCATTCTATTTTCAGCAAATGATAAAGGATTGTCTGTTAAGTAAAAAAATCATATAATAGATGTCATCATTTCACATTATGTCACCAAAAATTGATAGCTAGTTTGAGGAGTATATTATTGCCCATTTAGAAGAAAGATATAGCTAAAGTGAATTATTAATAAGTGCAATTTGGAAAATGTTGACATTTCAAAGAAAGAAGTCTTTTGTGTTGTCACAAGAAAAGAAAAATTTAAAGATGCTGAAAATTTGAGGTTCATTGTGCCCATAAACTATAGCCTGCTCCAAGTTGGACACCTGCCATAGTCAAGGTGAAGGCCTTGGTAAGTGGGGCAAATGCCAGCATTCAAAGAAACATTGTAAAGAAGGTAGAGACTTTGGTATCCACAGTTAATTCTATAATTAGTAAATTTTGCATAAATTGATTTTTTCTGATAGATTTTAAAGATCCTAGTTTTTATTATGCTTAATTATTTTTAATTGTTTGCATTCAGGTAGCATAAAAATTAATCAATTGGAATATATTCATGGATTGTATGAATCAGCTATATATGGTGGTAGAATAGATAATCCGTTTGATATGAGAATCCTTATATCCTATTTAAGACAGTTTTTCAATGATCAAGTTATATCTGGATCAGTTTCTATGAGAAAACATTTTTCTTGCAATATACAACTTCCAAATTCTGCAGATTATCAGGTATGTTTCTTATAATCTTTCATTTATATATTTCTTGAAGATTATCATATTATTTTCTTTATATTAAATTATTAATACATCATCATTATTATTTTCTTTATATTAAATTATTAATACATCATTATTCATTAGTAGTGCAACAATTTTTCATATTTATCTTATTTCAGTCACTTTTTATTAGACAGTAAAATAAAAATTAAGTATACAGAAAGTTCAAAATAATTATATATTAAAGATGATTTTAGAATTAATGGATTAAGTTCAAGGTCATTTAATTCAGTGTTTTTATATTCACTCAAATAATATAATGTAATATTAACACACATTTACTAACTTGTAAGCTTTAGAAATGTTTTTTGAAAATAGTGTAACTTTAGATTTTCTGATTTACATGAATATATAAAACTCATCACCTCACTTAAAAATTAAAAAATTTATTTTTTAAGTGACTTTTTTTATTAAATAAAGTTAATTATGATTAATAAGCATATAATAATGCATTTATTTACATAAATAATTTTGATATAAAAAGTTGGTTGGGTTTTTTAAAATTCTTTTCAAGATACAAGTTACAGAGAAATGTAAGAAAAATAATCTGTACTTGTTTTAATTTTTTAATGCAGAACCACTCTCTATGTTCCTCTTAATTTGAACATATTATTTACTGTATTACACAAAACTAAAAGCAAAGATAGCAACAACTTATTACTACAAGAACCATATAGTATTAATATTGTTAAAACAAGAACCTTCACAATTCAAAACAAGTAAAATGGCAAAGCCATTCTTGGAACGAGACTGTCTTGGAGAGAACGAGCAACACATATGCAAATCTCATACTCGTTCCATTTTGTAGAAACAGTCTCAGCATTTTGTGTTTTATTTTTACCCTGTTCTCGATCCCTTGACTACCTACAAGTCTAGTTTATTTTATGTGCACATGATTTGGGCACCAAATACTCTGTGCCAAATTGCAACTCCTGACATGTACAGTACTGTACTCCTTCATACCCTTAAGGTATGCAGCCATTAACAGCAGTGCGATTTTAGAAACGAGACATAGTCTCATTAATTAAACTTTACGAATGTTCTTATAAATCAGGCTGTGGAGTTGGTAAAAATGGACAGACTGATTGCTGTTTTTTATTATGTACTTTATATTAACCTCCTATCTTGTATTTTAGGAGCCTCCTATAATGCACAATCTTATTTTATGATGATTCCTATAACTTACTTCATGATCTATGTATATCACTATTTACTATTGATTTTCTTTTCAGAAATCTGTATTTGAATACATTGTCTTAGTTAATTTTAAGTTTTTATTGTCAAATGATCCATAAAAAATGGCTATAAAAACTCAGATGTTAAATCTAGTATTTTTGAATACTTTACTGTAACCACTGATGGAAAACATTGTGTGTGTCAATGTATGGATGAAGATGGTAATAGTGGTAATGAAAGATTGTGAAAAAAGATACTGTAAATCAGGGGTGTCCAACCCGTGGCCCGCAGGCCGCATGCGGCCCAAGGCAAGTTCAAATGCGGCCCAATAAACGTGTGAACAAAACCGACAAATGTTTTAATTTTTTTATTATTTATTTATTTCAACGGCATAAACTCAAAAAAAAGTTTCACAAAGCCGTAAACCTTTATTCATATTTTATTTTTGAGTAAAAAGAAAATATTTTCAAATACTTGGAGATGTGTGAATGCGGAAGGATTACTAAATAAAGCTGGAGTTGTGACTCAAAGGATTATAGACCCAAATTTGGGAAAAGGAGGGA